AGACAGACAGACAGACAGACAGACAGACAGACAGACAGATAGACAGACAGATATTGGACGATAAGGAATTTACTGGAGCTATCTCACTGGAACTACAAAGGACTTAGATAAGGACAACTAGAATTTCGAGAGAGAAAAACAAGACTATGAGAAAACAGATGTTGTAACTTTATTTGTAGGAATTAAAGTGTACTGGCAAAAACAAGAAAAACTACATAATTGTTTTTTTTAAATTATGATTTAAATAATGGTTTGCTATTGCAGATAGTCCTTGATTTATAACCAAAGTTACAATGGCCTCAGAAGGGTTATTTTACGGTCCATAAAGCACTTTCATCCATCATAAAATGTCATTCTGACATCCCGCCTGCAGTCACATGATTCCATTTCAGCAACCATCTTACATTTACAGATTAACAGAGTATTTATGAATAGTTGCAGCACACTATGGTCATGTGACTATGATTTGCTATGTTTCTGGCAAAAAAATGCACATTCAGGATTAATAGATTGGCCTAATGACTGTGTGGTTTTCTTAATGAAGAATGGATTTTAACAACCAACTGATTTGCTTAATGAACTCTCTAAAAATGGTAAAAAGAATCACATTCAGTCACATGGTTATCTCAACTCACGATCGAAATTCTGGTTCCAACTGTAGTTGTAAGTCCAGGACTACTTCAAATGTTTTTGTTTTTTTTAAAAATGGGAATGGATGATGATGGTTATTTGTGATAATGCTTAATTAGGTATAGTGGATTAATTTGGAAGATTATTTTTCATAATGTTTAATTGTTGATTGGGATAGGATTTTGTTATTTGAAGACAGAGGTTGGGGCAATTTGCTTAAATGGAAATGGAGATATCAATATTGTTATTTCTGTTAACCCTTATTGTGTTAGCTCATTAATAAGGAGAATTGAGGATTTAGAGATGACTTTACAGAAAACAGGATGAGGCTTGGAAAGTGTAGCAGTATTTAGTTCCATTTTAACAGGCAGCAATGTTAATGTTGACTATATTTACTGGAAAGGAAGAGGAAGTTTTGTCTTCTAATTTTTTCCCTCTTTTTTCACATACATGGTCCTATGCAATATAAATTGATGCCTTTGCCATTGTCACTAAAGTAATCAACTACCTCCGACCACTTCCTACATCACTTGTTGTTCTATGTTGATGCCTGCTTGCTTCAGATGAGCTGCTGGGATGATTTTAATGCTTTGTGTGACCCTGCTGGGAATATTTACTCTTGATGTTCACTCCAGGTATTCTTCACTCATCCCTCCCAGGAACACCCCTTCTCCATCCATGATGCACAGGGGACTTTGGGGATGGGAAGTAAAGCAAGGTATGGTTTCAAAAATTCTTCTCAAAAATAGCAATAGCACTTAGCACTTAGACTTATATACCACTTCAGAGTGCTTTACAACCCGCTCTACGTGGTTTACTCCCAACCTATTGCCCACAACAATTTGGGTCCTCATTTTACCCACCTCGGAAGGATGGAAGGCTGAGTCAATCTTGAGCCTGGTGAGATTTGAACTGCCAAACTGCTGGCAGCCGGCAATCAGAAGAAATAGCCTGCAGTAGTGCACTCTAACCACTGCGCCACCATGGCTCATAAAAATAGTATAGTATACATAATAGTATACCTAAAATAGTATTTAAAGCTTTTAATCTTCAAAAGTGAGCTAAATTAGCATGGATATCAAAGTTTTGATCTCTTATAAGAAAGGGAGTGAATAGGGCAGTGCCTAAGTAATCATTGCATTATCACCCTGACTCATTTATGGGGCTTTATAAAAGTACAAATGTTGTGGGAATCTTTTTCTGTCTTGATTCTTTTTGTCCATACATGCAAAATTCTTTGCAGAAGATGTGGAATAACTGTGTTGGGTTTTTGACTGATCACATTAGGGACAATTCACTTGGGGCTGGTCCTACCTAAAACTACGTATGTGGTCATGCGGTTCTGCCTTGATAGACATACAGGAAAATGGCAGTTTGGTCCTCTCTCTCTCTCTCTCTCTCTCTCTCTCTCTCTCTCTCTCTCTCTGTGTGTATTCAGCAGATGCAAAAGGGGTGGTGCTGCAAAAGGGGCAGGTCTCAGCAAAGGCTCCTATGAAAAGGAAACCATCTTAGCCAGCATAACATGAATGTTTCCTTTCAGGGAAATGAGTGCTCATGTGATGCTTATGTTGGAGGGGAGAAATGGGGAAGTGAATGCAGCACTCAAAGGCTTTGTAGAAGAGAAGAGATCAGGAATTAAAAGCCAGCATAGAAAGATCCAGAGAGAAATGGCAAAGAAATAAGATCCACAGAGAAGCAAAAACAAGGATTCTGAGATCGGATCTCCACCATGGCCTCTCGGCAAAGTGAAGAGGAGTGCAATCCCCTGTTACAGCAGAAAGGAGCCCAGCTCAATGGACCAGCCAAGTCTCTCTTTGAGGGCAGAAAGGCTGCCTGCCTGGCTGTGTTGCTGGTGGAGATCCTGGAGCGAGCAGCTTTCTTTGGTATCGTCTCCAATCTTGTCTTGTACCTCAACAGCAGCACCTTTAACTGGGGTGGCTCCCAGGCTTCTCAGGCAGTTTTGATCTTCATAGGTGCCTCCTACCTGCTCTCGCCCATTGGGGGCTGGCTCGCCGATGCTTGCCTAGGCTGCTACTGGACTATTGTCTTCAGCTTCCTGCTCTACCTTGTCTCAGCATGCCTGTTGCCCACTGTGGCCTCTCAGGAGGGGCGCCTCTGGTTGTGTGGAGAGATGCCATCCTACCCAATGCAGCCTTTGTGCCAGGGTGACATGTCAGAGTGTAAACAAGCACTGCCAAGTCCATACTGCGCCCCTCTCCTGTACACTGGCCTGCTGATCCTGGCCTTTGGCATCAGCTCCGTCAAAGCCAATCTCATTCCATTTGGTGCCGATCAGGTAAGAGATCATCTCTCGGATCTATCCTTTATTTATTTCAAGGCAAGCAATTTGGAATTATTATTAAATTCATCATTGGATTGCTGGGATGGTTCTGCCCCAATAAGCCTCAAGGTTTTGCCTTAAAAAACATATTTTAATGTAATGTAATATCTTCTATTGCTTTGCCTTTACTGATTTCATATAGCTGTGCCGCATTTTTTGATACACGTTTTCTAAATGATTGCCATCTAAAGCAAATTCAGAGAAGGAAGACTATAGGAAGACACAATACTATTTTGATTTAATTAGCCCAGGGGTGTCCAAACTTGGGAACTTTAAGACTTGTGGACTTCAACTCCCAGAATTCCCCAGCCAGCCATGCTAGTTGGGGAATTCTGGGAGTTGAAGTTCACAAGTCTAAAAGTTCCCAAGTTTGGACATCCCTGAATTAGCCAAAGATAGAGAAGGCCTCTGAAAATGAAAGAAATTGTACCAGGGATTGAAAAGGCAAGCCTTGGTGGCTGGCAAAGCTCTGAGGGATAAAAGAGTTTTAGAACTGAAGAATGTTAGCAATGATACTCTCCTCCCCATCAAAACGATATCTAGGCCAGGTAGCTAAAGTAGCAGCAGACTTAATGCAGAAGTGAGAGTGATTAACAGCCTTGGAGGAATGCTGGAGATCATATGACCCCAAAAAATATATTTAGAGTGGGGGGAAGAAGAGCACCCAGTAAACCTCCTGTAAAACAATGGGGAAACAATTATCTTAATCAGTGGTCAACCTGCTGTGTGGTAGCAGGGACAACCGTTAAGTGGGATGATAGGGTTTTTTCCCCTTTGAAAATCAGAAGTTCTATAGCACTTCTATAATGCTTATTATTCATTGTTTCTGGAAATCCTGAACTTATTCATTTATTTCTCTTTTTCAATTCACAAGAGTCTTTCCCCACTATTTAATTAAAGTGGTGGCCTTATGTTGTCAAGCAATGCGTCAATCTCTATCCCGCCTCTGAGTCACATCCAAATGGTGTGTTTCCCAATTGACACAAACCAACATTACAGCAAAATGACAATGCATGTATAATGACACCATGAAAGGATCTCCCTGGTTGCATTATGAGATCTGACAGAAGTATATAGGTCATAGGATTTGTGTCAGAAGGACACACATTTTGTTACTTGTCCCCCTTGTAGTTTCTACGGATGCCTGTGCGGTTGATCACTGCTGACAGTCATGCTTTGTTCCTGTTCCTTTCAAATCATCAGTGGGGAAAATATCCACCGATCAGAGCACAGCAGCAGGAACAGGAGAGACCTGGGGTGGCTAAGCAGACTAGAACAACTATACTTCCTTTACTCTAAATAAAATGTTGGTGGTCTGCTCTTTTGTCCTCTGTCTTGCTGGAAGCTGAGGGAGAAGCTGGTGTCAAATCAGAACGGAAGATGGGGAGATGACTGCTCTAAAAGGAACTCGGGGAAACAAAATGTTAATGGAGAGGACTATCTCTGGATGTGGAAGATGCCCAGTGACCACAGAGGGTGTGCCTCTGCTTCCCAGCATGCCTCTGATAAGATCCACAATAGCTGACTATGTGTGGCAAGGCATGACAGATTTTGTACCCCTTGGGATAAATGTTGGGAGGGGAGGGATGCTGCTTTAAGACCAGTATATCTAATAAAGTTTTAAAGTTGTTTCATGCACAACCTGTAGACGATATGAAGGCAATATCATGCAAACAAATATGTGTTGTGTAAAGTACAAGCAAGGCTAAGGGCCTGTTTTCAGTGCCACTTATTACCTCCACAGTTGGAAGAGCAGTGCCATTTGCAAAAGGAAAGTTTTAATACCTTCCCACCATTCCTTCTCTTGCCCCCAGTCAACAATTAACTTTTTCCTTTATCTAACGTGGGCTTCCATAGTTTTCCAAATGCAAGGAGCTGCTGTTTTTTGTACAATGCAATACAGACTCATTTCCTTTCCCAGGGGATAAAACATGAGAGGTTTACTCATATTCTTATTTTCTTTTTTAGCAGTGGTGCTCTCTAGAGCCATTCTGTACATGCCAATAATTTGACAAAAATTGCTATATTATATAAATGTTTACTAATCTAGACATGCTTTATATCTGGATGCAAGAAGGAAGGGAAGGGCGGAGCAGGGAGGAGAGAAGAGAGGAGAAATAAAGAGAAAAACAACTAACTGGACAATTATTGCTGGGCTTAGCATATTAAGGACTAATTCAGGAGAATCAAGCCCCATTCTTTTCTCTCTCTCTATTTTTTTTTTCATTACAGGTGACAGACCGTGGCCAGGAAGCTACCCGACGTTTCTTCAACTGGTTCTACTGGAGCATTAACATTGGGGCTGTGCTTTCGCTGCTGGTGATTGCCTTCATCCAACAGAATGTGGATTTCCTGATTGGCTATGCCATTCCTGCTGTCTGCCTGGCCCTGGCCCTTGTAATCTTTCTTCTGGCTGCCCCCATCTTTGTCACAAAGCCAGCTGCTGGCAGTCGAGTCCGCACCATGTTGTATTTGGCTCTCCAGAATAGCTGTTGTGGCAAAGCAATGCAGAAGGTGACCATAAAAATCAGGTAAGGCAGACAGAAGCCTCATTGCACAACAAGGTACCTTATGGCTGCCATATACCCCTTTAAACCTGTGACTCTCCCTGCAAGGGATCAACAGGCAAATAATTGCTTGGACTTGGGTGCATGTCCAGGAGAGGGAAATTGTAGAACTCTGAGTAAGTACAGACTTTATATTTTTATGGTGCAGATGACATATCCAAGGAACTCCTTGTGGATTGTCATCAAAAAAAGACAGGATGTAATCTAATCCAAATACTAGTGGACTTTGCTTTCTGCTTGCAGAGCATTTTTTTAAAAATCCAAACATACATGAGGAAGCATTGTAAAATGGCAATCCCTAACTGCAATTTGAAAAAATGTAGCCCATTTTACCAGCTTAAGGTACATCTCACTTCATCCTGCAGCTGGACCATATTGTCCTAAAGTGATGAACTCTTAATTTCTTTTATCTTTTAATTTGCTTATATGGATGAATGAAACACCACAATTAAATCATGGGCGGAGAGAGAGATCTGTTGTATTATTATTTGGATTTGATGATTAGAAATTGTATAAGAAGAGGCATCAAATAAGGGGGAGGAAATCTGCAAATAATGTTAGGACAATGTTTCCTGACCTTGGCAATGTTAAGATATGTGGACTTCAACTCCCAGAATTCTGGGAGTTGAAGTCCACATATCTTGAGGTTGCTAAGGTTGGGAAACATTGCATTAGCAGAAGTAGTGCAGACTCCTCTCTCACCAGGCACATAAGAAGCTGCATTCCATTACTAGGCCTTGTGTACTGCCAAAGGCAATAATATTTTGGGGTGAGGCAGTCAGAGGTTGTTTTGTCAGGTCCCAATGAATAAATCCAGACAATGCATTTACAGCTTGGCATTCTGCATGATCCAGGCAAATTGTGGTTTACTCAACAAACTGGCTAAACTTTATACGATAACTCAATGTCTGAGGGCTGAGTCGGAGCAGTGGTCCATCCAGCTCAGGAAAAACATTACCTGTTATAACTGGTGGCTCCTTTACTAGAATTTTAGATTTTCCCCAGCCGTGACCAGAATTGCTAGATGAAACTTTTGCATTCAAATCATGAACCAAATTACTGAGCAATGTCCTTCCCCTGTGAGGTTTCTCTGACAGCGTGAACAGTAGGAAGAGAATTGCTCCCTTCGCTAACAAGGTTTAAGCACTTATTTATAAGATCTAATTGCCTTTCCTGCAAGAGCCCCTAGCAGTGTACCAAGTTCTTCCTTCTCCCATTTTCCCACACAACAGTGACCCTTTGGGGTAGATTTAGCTAAGGAAAAGTGTTTCCATCACTAGGAATTGAATTTGGATCTCCCCAGTGCCAGTCCAATTTATTATCACTGTGTTGGCCTCACTAGATAAACCAGATCAGGAAATCAGCTCCACAGGCAGGCTGATTGCAATGTATCTTTTCCTTCTTCCTTTTTTTTTAATAATTCAGTGAACTAGGGAGGTGTCTGCCTAAGCCACTTCTGAATATTTTCTCATTATTCGCGATAAGATTTCAATTCCCTTTGCCTGGGCAATCAATTCTACTGCTAGTCCTCAATATATGACTATAATTGAGCCAACAATTTCAATTGTAAGTTACAAACTTTTTTGTGGGGATCATTAAGCAAATACAGCAGACGTTAAACAAACGTTAGCCAAACATTGGAAATACATCTTGGTTTCTGGCCAAAATGTTGTAAATTTCAGTCACTTGGCCACAGGATGCTGCAAACAGCTATAAATGCAGGCTGGTTGCCAAGCACCCAAGATGTCATCCTATGACCAGGTGGGAGGCTCGGACATTGGAACTTCAAATCTGGGTTGTACGTAGGTTTTTTGAGGGGAAGGGGGGGTCTATTGTAACTTGAAATAATCTGTTCCCTGTCTGGTGCCCTCCAGTGATCAGACAACAGCTTCCAGATGACTGGGATATATGATCTGACCCATCTAGGAGCTGGCTCTCCATTTTGGGGGAGACCCAACATCTTCCTCCCTCCCTTTTCTTTACAGGGCAAGGAATCCCCTGCTGGAAGCAGACAGACCCAATCCCCTTTCAAGGGAAAGCAAGCAGCCTATGGGGTCATCCAATGAACACGCCTCCAACCTCCACGTAATGGCAAAGATCCTGCCAGTTCTGCTGACTCTCGTTCCCTATTGGATGGTTTATTTTCAGGTAGCCACCTTACAGGGCCTTCCTTTTGTCATATGGGAAGATCTCCTGACTGATGGGCAATAATGCCAGCAGCAGAAGGAAGCATAGGGGCTTGTGGTGTTCTGGGAGGGAGTATTTAGCTGGGAATCTGAGCAGGATGCCAGTTTCAATTTGCATTTTAATAGTAAGCACTTACCTAATATTTATTTAGGGATTTACATTCCATCTTTCCCCACTATCAATTGTACATTAAGATTAAACAGTAATAGCATAAAAATAAACTTGTTAAAATGGAAGACGTGCAAGGACGGCAGCAAAAATCCAGCATCAGAAGAAGCCTTTTACTGTAACGGTTTAAGGGAGTTGCCTAGCAACAAAATTACCTCCCCAAAAATGGCCAACAAGCAGCTTCTTTGGGCAAGCCTTCCCTGATTGCAGGGCCATTTAGAAATGTTCTTTCCTCACCATTTGCAAGTTTCACCCCAGGGGATCTCCCGAGAAGGCTCTTGATGATGATTTCAGTGAAAAAGGAAATTCAAACAGATGCATTTTTCTTCTTTGCAGGTTAATGCAATTGTTAGAAGATTCTGTGCCTCAGAAAAGAGGTAGCACCTTCAAAAATGTTAAAATCCCTTTTTAGTAGACAGTTTAGATACATTTGTATCCCCCCCCCCTCAAAAAAAGTCCTTTCAACCTTAGAGATGTGTACGTAAAAATACAAACTGCTGCCTTATTAACTGGTTCATAGGTATGGAGCACTTCAACATCTGCTGCAACGGGTTGGTGGGGTAACCTGGCAGATGGCTATAACTATTGTTCCAAGTAAATTTTATACTAAACATAACATTCTGCTGGCTCAAGGACTAGTGGATATCACTTCAGCATGCTGACTGGCTGTGCCCCAGGGCAGGCTTTGGGGTAAACAAGGCTCTGAGTACTGGAATTGGTTTGCCCTTATTAAGTGTGGAATTTTGTGCAGGCTGGGTGTGCCCCTTCCTTCATTGATCCAGTCAGACCTTCAGCGGCCGCTGCAGGAACAGTTTGGAGGGTTTCGGAAGGGATAATGTTCCCCACTTGGAAGATGTGTGTTCTAATGTTAGGTTGTGTCCAGTGGTTCAGAAAACGGGTTTTCATATTTCCAGGAGATGCCAAAGACTGAAACTGATATTGTAGTTCCCCAAAAATAAGACCTAGCTTGATTTTTAAATGTGTGCCCAATATAAGCCTACCCCCAAAATAAGTCTTACTTATTCCAGCGTGCATGGGATTGTGTGAGTGCTAGGGTGGCGATAGTGGGGTAGGGCTGCCCTACTGGTACTTACCTTCAGACAGTTGCAGCCAGGCCTTGCATGTGTCAGCAAAATGGAGGCTGGGGGGGGAGGTGCCATGCGCATCAATCTAGAGTCCATTTCTTGCCTGAATAATCCTTTCCTGGAGGTTTCTGACAGCAAAATGGAGGCCGGGGGCTGCTGTGAGATGACTCAGTGGAAGACATCCCTTCCAAAATAAGACCTGGTGCCTTTTTTGGGTGGCATATCTATCTATCTGTCTGTCTTTCTGTCTGTCTGTCTGTCTGTCTGTCTGTCTGTCTGTCTGTGTATGATCAGGTCATGGTATCTTAAATGAAAAAGATGTGCTTCATCACCAGCCTTCACTCCTCCTTATGCACTTTTTCCATGCCATGCATTTCTTTGTATTGTCAATTTCAGTAATGCTCTGGTGAAGGACAATTAACATTGTAATTTTGGGGTGGCAGCTTGTATATACAATGTAAATCCTAGGGCGGTTTCTGCTTTCTGTAGATTGCACATTCATGGCAATTCAACTTTGATCTTTGAAATGTTGGAGGGAGGGAGGGAGGGAGGGAGGGAGGGA